TTCCTCTTGAGCAGAGGACTCATTTTCCTCTACTTGGAAAATGTTAATATTGAAATCTCAGAAATAATTCCTCAGAAACAGAAATGTCATGGAGAGTTCTGGCATTAACTGATACAATGTTGTCCCTGCTGGATGGATCACTCTTGGCAGACTTCATTTACTTTGGGCTTCATAATAAAATGGAGTATTCAAAAATTCTGGTATACTACATCCACTTATCAGGTTTCTTCTAGTTCATGCTTTTCTTCAAGCACAGGAAGCTTCATACACCTCTCAAAAATAATCAGAAATCTATGTTAAAAATGAACACAGTTTAGAGTTCCACAGAAAGAAAATGGGGAAAAAACATTACGTATCGTAAAATCTGTTTTATTTCTGTGGCTTCACAAAATTCTTATTCAGCAATGACAATATCTACATCAACCAGACCAGTTCCCCATGATGCAGAATACTGTCTCCATAACTCTTTCTGTAGCAAAAAAACCAAGAAGTGGGCCAAGTCAGACCAACTGCTTCAGATACAAATCCAGCTACATGTGTGACACATCCTGACAGTGCTGAGAGATGTGGAAATTCAACCACCACCTTTGCAGGCTGGTTCCTGCAAGAACTCAGGCAGAAACCACATCATTCTCTGAGTTAGCTGATGATCTAGCTGATCAGCAGACCATGCATGCATAGGCAACCTTTGTGATTTCAATTCTTGTGTAAGAACTTACTTGCGGTTTGCTGCTTTTCCCCCAAAGCTGTTCCTGCACAAAGTGAATACTATATTCGTTATGTTGCTCCTTTTTCTTTCAGTATAATTCAGCTGACTGGGACACACAGGATTTCTCTCTTCATGTCTCTATTAACATAATCTCAGTCAAATGAGTAGCCTTAATTCTTACCCCAGCATTAGTAACACACAGTCCCTACAGATATAACTTCTGTGCTGATCATCAAAAAGTTAACTGTATGTGGAAAAAAACCTATCCTGTAACAAAACAAAGAGTTAGCTTTTATATGATCTTTGTAAGTCATAGTATATCTGTACAGAGAATGGTTTGAAACCAGTCTCCTGGCAAATTCTAGATCCTCAATTATACTAAAGGTCCAAGAACCTCCATATGGTGTAAGATTTCTGCTGATGAAATATAGCTGAGTGCTGGGAAGAGTTGGGAAATGAAGACATAGAACTGAGAATTGTAAGTAAAAAGTGAAAAGCAAAGTACATTTTGAGCCGGTAACAGCTGGTAAGTCAGTCTCAGAAATGTAATTATCAAATATCCAAGTAATACAAAGTAATGATGTCTACAAATTGAACTATGAAGACAGAAGCGGAATAGGGAAACCTTGGTGGTTTGGTGGATACAGATATCCTTTCTATTTCTTATCCCAGACTTTGTATCCCTATATATAATACTCAAACAAAATAAAAGTCCAACTAAGGCGAAAGAAGCAAAAGCAATGGAAACAAGGACAGGTAACCTTGGAAGAGCATGAAACTGGGTAGTCTAAGTATGGGCTGAGGAAGGCCAAGTCAAAGCTGGAACTGAACTTGGCAAGAGATGCAAAGAATAACAAGAAGGGCTTCTACAGGTATGTCGACCAGAAAAGGAAGGCCAAAGAAGGTGTACCTCCATGATAATCAGTGCCGGAAAACCGGTAACAAGAGATGAGGAGAAGGCTGAGGTACTCAACAACTTTTTGCCTCAGTCTTCAATGGCAGCCTCTCTTCCCACACCTCTCAAGTGGATGTGCAGCAGGATGGGGACCAGGGGAGCAAAGTCCGTCCCACTGTAAGTAAAGATCAGGTTCATGACCACCCAAGGAACCTGAATGTATATAAGTGTGTGGTACCCAATGAGATGCATCCCACAGTCCTGAGGGAATTTGCTAATGTAGTTGCCAATCTACTCCATGATATTTGAGAAGTCATGGCAGTCTGTTCAAGTCCCAGGTGGCTGGAAAAAGGGGGACATTTAACCCATCTTTAAAAAGGAGGATGCTGGGAACTACCAACCCATCATGAGATCCTTCTAGAAGCTATGCTAAGGCACATGGAGAACAAGGAGCTGATTTGAGACAGCCAACGTAGTTTCACCAAGGGCAAGTCCTGCCTAACCAGCCTAGTGGCCTTCTGCAACAATGTTACTAAATATCTCCATTAATGACATAGACAAAGGGATTAAGTGTTTCCTTTAGCAAATTTGCAGATGACACCAAGCTGAGCAGTGTGGTTGACACATCTGAAGGACGAGATGCTATCCAAAGAAACTTGGACAAACTCAAGAAGTTGGCTCATAGGAATTTCATGTGGATTAAACAAAACCAAGTACAGGGTCTTGCACCTAGGTCAGGGCAACCCCTGGATGAATACAGGCTGAGGGATGAATAGATTGAGATCAACCCTGCCAAGAAGGACTTGGGGGTGCTGGTGGATGAGAGGCTGGGCATGAGCCAACAACGTGCACTTGCAGCCCAGAAAGCCAGTTGTGCCCTGGACTGCATCAAAAGCAGCTTGGCCAGTGTTTACACCCCAGTTCACTTAGCAGGTTTAGATGAAGGTTGTTTGACTGGGTGGTGCACAGGAGAAAAAACAAAATTCTCAGGAAGTTCACTAACAAACTTTAACTCGCAAACTTTAGAACATTAAGGTAGAATAAGGAACTTGGCAAATTTTAGGTTTTTTTCTCCTTTGTTTTCCATGACTGATGTAGACAGCTTCCCTGGGTTTCTGGTAAATAACTGGTTTGTAACCCTCTGACTGAATAAACTGCTTAATTAGATCCAAGGGGAAAAAACTTATATTTGTGGCTACAAACAAGTTTGTGGTGAAGAACGTGTGTTGTGAACTATTATTTCACTGCAAAAGGTCTAACTGAATTTATCCAAATGTTCTACACTGTCACATGAATAGTAGTTCTGTAGTTAATTGTTTATTAAATATGTAAATACAAATTGAAAACTTAAATTCAATTACTGAATTGAAACAAAGAGGAAATGGAATTTTGCATTAAGGAACAAATTCAATTCAGCTTTGAATGTGGAGCTGCTGTCAATTTATTTTTAATTCAGTAAGTGCATATGAACTATTTAAATACATTTTGATTGCCAACTTTCATACATAGCTTTGATTTCAAAGAAAGTCAGGATTTTCCTGTAACAAGAAAGGCAGAAAATATAGTTTGAATACCAAACAAGTCTCAGTGAGATCAAAGCATTAACCATTCTCTATGTTTCTTTAATTACTACTAATCATTTGAGCTACTGCAGTCACAGAACAAGTTGTATAATTCCCTGCTTTGGGAGGCACTGCCTGTATGTTGCAATGTTTAAAAACAGACTTATGCACACAAATGCCAAAAGATACATCTCAGAAAATATGATGTTAGCAATAAGACTGCTTTATTATTCTTGCAATAAACAGCTATCCACAAGTTCCAAAATGCAGCCGAATTTCTTAAAAAACATGCAATGCTTTCAGCTATGATCTGAGAGAGAATAAATAATTTTCAAGCACTGGAATGCTGCATTAAGATTCTGACTTCAAAGGTGCAAAAATGGTCAGGTTTGCCATAGAGTGAACTCTGAATTTACAGAACATGAAACAAGTTCCTCTCGCTCCTGTATCTTTAAAAATGTTGTTGAATACAAAACTAAATGCAACTTCACTTGGATTCATATATAGCATAGGAGACTGTTGTGTCAGCTATGTAAAAATGTGCTAGTCTAGGTTTAATTTGCATCTTAACATGCTCAGCATACCTAACTAGCTTTTTGTTTAGTTGTAGATCAATATTATGGAAGTAGGAACCAAAGAATTCCATTTTATCATATTTTAAGCTGTGCTGTTTTTCTTTACAGATTATTTACAGAATGTAAGCAGTCTGGTGCTTGGACCTAAGAATGTTATAACTAAATTGCTTTTTGAAAATAATATTGTTGCTGTAGTCTTCAGAGAAAATGAATTCTTGTTTGAAGTAAAGCTGCTTTCAAAATTTTTATCCTAATATTTCAGAACAGATAGATCTTTTTCCTAGTAAAACCTAGTTCTACAACAGAGTATATTATTTACTGAACAATTTAGTCCAAGATCAGTTTAAATGCAGAAAAGTTGTTTGTCCATTATGTTAGGCATTCTTGCATTTGAACATTAGTTAAGTATCCTAATTAGGTTATTTTTATTTGTAAGAAAAAAAGGTATGTGAGAAGCAAATAGAACACTCTGGTTGATCTCCTATATAGTAATGCAGACAGCATTGACAATTTGCAATAAGACAGAATTCCTCTTAGTGTTCAAAAAGTCATAATCAGATCAGGCTGAGTAACTCAGTAGAGTTCCATAGGCAAAAATGGTCTAGATGTATAGTCAGAAATACCAGGCAATCCAATTATTGTATGGCAAGAAAAGACTGTTCTCAGCTCTGGGGTGTGTTGAAGACAACATCCAAGGCAAAAAAGTAGACCCAAAACAGCTCTGTTTGGAAGCTGTTCCTGTGATACAGTTTGATTTACATTGGTTAAACAATCAATATTATCAATATCATCAGTACGTCAATTTGTTATTTAATGCCTGTCTTTTCATGAATCAAAATATTACTGGTATGTGCTTATATATATACTGAAAGAAGAATTTCAAGGTCCTTTCAAATTTCATGGAAACGTCCTGATTGATTATTTCTTACTTCATCACTCATTGCTACTTCCCAAAAAGGAAGAATTCAAATACTCTTATCATTCAAATATAAAGAATTACTTTTTAATGCTGTTACTTTACAAACCATGCTCATCATCATACTCCTTCTGAATTATCTTTTAATGCTGCTTCTTGTTAGATGATGCATGTTCCTTCAACATCTCTAGTTATACAAAATGGCAGATCTTTTGAGGGCCTCAGTCTCACCCAAAGATGTGGATTCAATAGTTTAGACTAAACCATCAACTGTTCCTTCAAGCTACCACTTCAGCCAATCTTTGTGCCTAGTGTTTATTTTTCTTTTATGTTTACCCTACAGGGCTCTATGAAAACTATCCAACCAATGCAGAACCAGAATGCTGTGATGTCAGATGGGGACTATTATCAGATCATCAATCCAAAGGGACTATAAAAACAAGTGGCTCAACAATGTGTCACAGGACATCGCTCACAGTTTCATCAGCATCAAGACTGTGTAACAGCAGACTTAAACTGTGTGTTCTTGTATTAATTCTCTTACATACAGTACTTACAGTCTCAGCAGCACAGAACTCAACAGGACTGGGCTTTGGAGGCATAACAACTTTGGAAGATAATTCAACCAATGAGGAATAAAAGAAAGGATTCATTTTACATGAGAGAAACACAACAGGCCCAAATGACTACAGTCAAAAACAGCAAAGACTGAGTGCTTTACCCTCAGATCTCTTCTTGAATGACCTTTTGGATAAAATGAAAAGGATGGGCCACTACCCAAACAAGGACACATGAACACAGCTTTTTATTGACTAAAAGGCTGTTTGGTGACTTAAATTTCTCACACCATTTTATACACTGTGTTTTAATGTTTGGAGTTTCTTTTTTTGTTTGTTTTTTTGCACTTGTTAATACAGGATTTTATTTTTGGGACGGTTTATCAAAGCTAAATTAAGTCTTTTCCCTGTCAATATCTTTCTAGTCATTGTGTGTGTTCATCTGATAGTTCTGTCTTTTATGTCCTGTCAGTTTCTATTAGAGGAATGACTGCTATGATTCCGTGACATAGCAGAAAAAAAAAAAAAAAAAAGGAAAGAAAAAAAAAAAAAAAAAAAAAAAAAAAAAAGAAAAATCAACAAAAAACCCACAAAAAAAACCTCAACAAAAAACCACAAAAAGAACAAAACAAATTTAACCAAAAAATAGAAAATAAATAAAAAATAAAAAAGGCAACCACAAAAAAAACCCCAAATAAACCTTACTGTCCTCTTACCCATGGGAACCATTCATCTCCTTTCCCTTTCCCATCTCCTGTCACAGACAACACACATTTGCTTCTGTCTGTGTAATCACAATGAATGGGTACACAATTCTAGTGTGCCTCTGCCACTGTTGCACAAAACAGTTGACTGAGCAAACCCAAAAGGAGCATGAAGGTGGTTCCTTTTAGCTGAACAAACAAGTGCTCTCCTTAAAAGGTGGGATCGGACAGTTAAAAAACGTAAAGAAATATATAACAAACTGTTGCTCCAATACCCGTTTGAAGAAGTCCAGTCCTTTCTCACTGGTCAGTTGAACAGGAGCAGCCTTTAATAGATATGCTACGTAAAACCAGTTATGCTCAGCAAGTTGAGTAGTTGGGAAACCTTCATATTGGAGGTGAAGGATTGACATTCATTGTGAATCATGTTTTGAGTTCTCCTGCTGTCACATAACCAGCAGCTTTCCATATGGAACGGGAGCTAAGAACTTCCAAAATCCAACTCTTTTTTGTCTCAACAAAACTACACTAGAAGTCTTTGAGCATCTGCAATACAAAGTATCTCTTTGGTTTTGATTCCATTGTTTTTCTAATATCTACATGTTATTGAAAGTTACTCTAGTTTATTAAGGATGCACAAGAACGTGTTAGCACAGATAAAGAAACTATTTTTTTTTAATATATAGGACAACCATTTTCATAAATGTGCAATAAAACCAGTAAAGATATACTAGGATACGAGTAGTCAAGAGAAAAGATTGTAATACGATTGCTGATTTTTCATTTTTTGGGGTGGCTTTTAATTTGTTTACTTTTATTTTTGTGGGAACATTTCACCTGCTGAGTGTATGAGAATTTGCTTTCTTAAAAGGCTTTTTAGAGTTTACAGTAGAATCAATGGAAGGAAAAGTTAATAAGGGCTGTTTTTAAAAACTTTACATTCCTTCCTATTCTCTAACTACACTTGGGAAGTGCACTTTAGAGATATTTGCTGTGTAGCTGGGAAATGAAGGAAACCTATAGAAAATGTTCTCTTAGGAAATAAAATATAGTTACCTACTTTCTAGCTATGAAATACCCCTTCATAAATATTAATGTTGTAAGAACATTTAATCACTGGTGCATAATGCATTTTTGTATACACTTTATGGTCTGTTAAATTCTGGAGAAAAACAAGAAGAAAACCATGCTGCTTAAGCGGTTCAAGATGCACATGTTAAGCTGCGAAAGCTCAAATACTTTGCAAGAGCATTTGTTTTGATAGTCTTTTGCTACAACCCGGACTGAGGAGCCTAAAATGATCTGTGCAAATATGACAACAACAAAAAGCACCAGCTAATGCAAAACTCTTCAGCACTGGTTTGTTTCTATAATTCTTCCCTTCCCTTTCTTGCACATGCTATATTTTGTTCAATAAAACATGGTGCTTTTTATTTATTTTCTTTTCTTTTAGAGGCACATGTATTAATTGTAGTGAACTGATGAAAAACTGGGGAAAAATGTAGAAATGCAAAAGAAAAAGCCTTAACTAATGGTAGAATGTAGACTTTTGAAAGGACAGAGATGTTACTGAAAAGTGATGGAGCAATAACTGGGCAGTGCTCTGGTACTGTACTACAGCTGATGAGTCACACTACTGAGAAAGCTCTTACTAGGTGAGCTCTTGTTCAACTGACCTCTTAATTCTAGTAAGTGTACATGGTCAGTAAACAGTTTGTTATAACCTTTATCTACCTCTGCTGTGCAAAGGCCATCCAACATACATTTCTGTGATGTTCCTCATGGTTTTTTTTGTTCACACCATTACTCACTGTCATCTATTTTTACACTGTAACAATACAGTAGCAAGTCTGGTTCATCCCGATTGAATTGGCACATGAAGAAAAGTTATTATTTCTCTTTTGCCTCATGGTGAGTTAATGTAGAGATCTATCTTTAAGATATTTTATTTCTTCTGTCATGCTCTTCTTCATCTTTCATCCCTTATTTTTCTATAAAATGGTTTTTAAGTGGTGTCAGTGAAAAATACGACTCCTCCACTGCTTGGTTACACTCTGTCATGTGTCATACAATATGAGAGAGACAGGAGGAAAAACAGTGACAATGACGTCACATGCATAAAGTAGCCTAATTAAACTTGGGGAAAATGAAGTAGAAAACAACTACAGACTTTCAATTATTACTCAAGTACAACATGTAATAAATTTGTCCCACTCTTCCCACCTGGAGTTAGTGCCTGCAGTTCAATGGTCTGTGAATTTTCTGTCATCTTTTTGAGGTCTACTTCTTTAATTTCTGAAACAAAGAGTCATGTTGCAGGGGTGACTACTGCTGGGGTATCTGTTGCCATTTTCACCCTAGCAGTGTGGTAAGCAGCTTCTCTTGGTGGCACCTGGGGACATCAGGAGTAGACAAAGACTCTTCTATGAAGTTAAGCAACATGTAATCATGTATGATGCAAAATTCCATTCCATCCATTCTTCATTCGTAATAGTTTTCCTGGCACAAACTTAAGCATGCTTGATATTGTGCACATATTACTTTTTTCCAGAATAAATTTGCATCTTGCCACTGCTATAACTGCCATCTTGTTCCATTTCTCCTTGTACTGTATGCCTAACACATACATGATAAAGAGCTGGCTTAACAAAGAAGTAATACTAAAATATTTCTGCAAATGACTGATGAGAAGAAAAAGAAAAAAATAATATTTATTTTATGATCATATGGAAGAAAGATATTTCCCATGTCTTTTATCATCTTATTTTCTGCAATAGGGAAAATCCAGATTTTGTACAATACGTTAATACTGCTAAGCCAAATGTCATACAACATAACCAGAGCTATATGTTATTCTTTATTGCATTTGCATTCAGTAATACAGTATATTAATGCATTCCTTTCATTAAAGAGACAGTATCTTTTTTCTTTTTTTTTATTTATTTTAATATAGCAGGTGAAGGCTGTCCTTCTGCACACCATAATTCAAAGACAAAAACCAACAAAATTCTAGAATGAAGTTTTAGCTCTATAAATGATGAAACCAAGTCATCAGCTGCCAAAGAATTTGTGGAACAATAGTTACAAACCAAACAAAGAAATTTCTTCTTGAGAGTTTAATGCTATTCTACATGATTAAAGAAGAAAGAATGAGAGCTGTATTTCAAACAGCAGAGATGGTAGGTTTCATTTGGTACATATTGTGGCTCTCAGTTTATGTAGTTATATTCTTCTATTAAAAAGTGAGGGACAAGGACATTGTCTTTTGCTCTCTCTGTATTTGTTATGATAATGAATGCCCTTTTGGTAAGCATTGCCTCTCTGCACAGAAGATACATGCTTATGTGAGAGCTGAAGACAGCTTATGTACATGCACACAAATTTACACAGTGAAATCTGTATTAGGTGACTATCCAAAGCACAAGCAAAACTCATTTGCAGAATAGAGCTAGCTTTAAGGAAAGTGAAAAAAAGTTCGTGTTAGGAAATTTCAAGATACATGTAAAGAATCAACAAAATAAGGAATCTGTGAAGGTGCCTGATCTGTGAAGGTGCCTGATCCTTACTGCAGCTTTCACTGTATATCCTGTCAGTGATAAGACCAGCACAGACAGGCTTCAAGCTGGGCTCAGAGTCATGGTGACTTCAGTGGGCCTTGATACAGGTAAAGGCACACTCCTACAAAAAATTCATGGTAGCACGTAGGTCTCCATTTTTTGTCCCATAATATTTACTCAGGAATTGCTCATGGACATAGTGCATAAACAGAGGATCACTGGGTTCAGCCCTAGCCAACTGAGTCTTAATAAGAGACTGGCAAAAGCATATTACTGCTGAATGGTTCTGGTTTTTTTATTATTGTCTACTCATATTAATTTGGCGGAGTGGTTTCAAAATTGAACTAGGAGCACAGAGGACTAACTACCAGAAACTTTGTCATTGTGGAGATGAAATTAAATAGCCTTTCTGGGGTAAAAAGAGGGTTTGTCATCTGTTAGTAGCTGTCAGGAAACAGTAGTATTTTAGAAAAGTTTGGGAAAATAATATGTCCAGTTCTGAATATGATAGTTCTCAGTAAAGCTAGATTTTTAGATGGGAGTTAGGACTGGAGCACATATCATCTCAACTGAGGGATTTAATTTGTCGACATCTTCTACAGTAACTCTGAGCAAGTACGTTTACTGAAGACCTCTAGGTGTCCAGTATTTTCCAACATTTTTTCACACATTAACAAGCTTGATCTTTCCCTGAAGGGAGAAGAAAGAAGAAAGATTTACTGTGAGTGATTTTGGGGGAAAAATGTTTTGGCCAACTTGGAAAACCCATCTGAGAAACCAGCTATAATTCTTCAAAATACAACAGGGATGAAAAAAAAAAAGGCATGTGTAGGTTTATATCTATATAGAAATAGTACTATTTTAAAAGAGAGAGACATAAATGTATGTTCTCTACAATTCTTAAAATACAGTGTACTGTAGGGAAAAAAAGCCAAAGGAGAAAATAAATAGGGCAAAATTACTGTATTTGTATTACTTACTATGGAGTGTAAATTTCCAAGCAGAATTTCAGCAGTAGAAATAGATATTATAAAAAAGTAAACAATTTGGGAGAAAGGGGCATATTTTGTTATTCTTTCCACCATACTGTCTCCTATGATTTTAATTATTAGTCTTCTGAACTTTTCCTTGAAATCGTTGATTTATGCAGGAAGA